TAACCACTTGTCCAGTAACGGGTGGGCTGTGAGCTCGTTCACCCATATAAGCAATAAAAAAAGGTTCAATAATTGTATCCAAAAACCTACAAAATCATGCTTCATTATTTGCTTGCGACTGAAGAGCAGCGGATTAGAAACTTGTTGGAGTCAGTCACGATAGCTAAAATTATAGGAACGTAAAAACTGACAAGAAATTCTTAAAATTCGAATACCATTTAAAATATCTTAGTGGATTTAAGCTTTATTCGTTTTTCAAAGTAACATATTTATACTCTCGTTCCATTTGAATATTCGAAGATTATCCTTAGAAATAAACAATTGACATGCCAAAGCAGCCGTGCCGCGGTTCTGTGCACGACCGATAAGGGGAATACGTGAGCACGAATATGTTAGCGATAAGGTCACTTTTAACTCAACTAAGAGTTTGTTGCCTTTATTTAAACCCCGACTATAGTATTCTATTTTATTTTCAGATAAATACGATAGATAGATTATATAAATAAGATAGATTTGGACGACAGATTTGTTCACGGAAAATTTTTCACGGTAGGTCGACGTTACATATCCACTATTTACGGAGAGGTACTTCAATTATGACAGAACTGTCATTATGTTTTATAGTTAATTAACATGAAGATATCACGTCTACTTATATACAACACTAGAAAACTAGAAAGAATCAGTAAACGTTAGTATGATTAAATGTGTCAGCCAGATCCAACATTAATAAATATAAAAACAATTATAATTTTATATAATATACCAATCAATTACATTAGCGTTTGATGCATAGTAATTTTGATGATATTTCGAAAGTTTTTGATGAAAATTATAATATTATAATACGACTTATCATGACTCAATGACTACTATATATATATAAATACACTTCGATTGAGTGATATAAATTATAAAAATTACATGAATCTGATTTATTATACTTATTCGTTGCTTGTGTGTTTCTATATTAATTGCTAAAGTCATTGAACATATGACCCATTTACAGCTCTAGACTATTATTATGCTAAATGCTCTTCAAGATCTCAGTCTATGTCAAACTATCTTGCATGAGTCTATTATTTGATTGGTAGCTCCGAATAATCTCAATCTAGTAATTTCTAACTTTCTTCAATAAACTCAAATTAATAGTAAAATTATTAATAAAATAATAATTATTTTTGTTAACGTTTAGCCATAAAAATATCCTTTTTACAACAATGCAAGCTTCACACAAATATATTATATGTAAATATGAATGTTTACAGTTTACTTTTATAGCTTGCATATTATGTATTTCATGTTAACCATAAAATTTTCAGCAAAATTGAAAACAAAGACAAATTGTTTGACACGTGAGAAGATTTAAATCTCGGAGCCCTTTACGTAAGAATTCGCTGCCATCAAAAATTAATCGGCTTTTATGACTTCTTTCAACAGTTCTTGATTAGCTAGCATCATGTCTAATTTATCGGAATCTTTTAATGTAATCGGACCAATTTAGAGACGAACGACTAACTCCAACATCAGCATACGTCTAAAATCTATGTCATTATAAACATTTTATTACTTTGGTCTAACATCGAGATTTTGACCGAATGGATAAAGAAAAATTGAATTTTTAGTTAACCTTGGTTTGAAGGGCCTTTAGGTGTTATTCCATTGTATACGAAAAAAAAATACAATAATATTTTCTTGAACTAAATAGTTGTAAAACGACAAACTTGTCTACACTGATTTTGATGAAAACCAAGCAAACATAGACTGTACAGTACTTATACTATCAAATTTAATTAAACACATCAATAACTTTGTTTCAATAAACGGGTCTTTTATATAAGAGGCTTATGTAGCCCAATATGTGAAGCGTATGGCTTTATGCACTGAACTAAATCAAATATTTCAATCCAGGCCATGCCTTCCTTCATTTGTATGCAGACGGTTTAAAATTCATACTCTGCCATTTGTAACGTTGCTATATTTTTCATTTATTTTCTATTCATGGGTAACTGGCTGGAATCCAATGTTGAAAAAACGTATCGAATCTGGATTGAGAATTTAACAAATTGAAATTGCATGTGACGTGAGTTTTAAGCCTTAATACGCTATTTCAAAGCCATTTCAGATTTTGGAGATGACTCTTTTAAAATCCAAAATTGATTTACGTATCATTATTCCCAGAATCTTAATAATATATTTATCAATGAGTTTTGAATCAGATTATATTTCGGGCAAAATTAACGTTGCTTTCATTCGGCTATAAGATTAAAAACAGTCCTGGTGAGCGTAATTGCTATTATATTCATTTAATTTCCTTACAGATTCATAGTCATTACGCCATGATATCATATACAAATTGGATATTAATCCAATTCAAAGTATATATATATTTTTTCTTAAGTTATAAATTTGAAATTCGTTTTGGTAAATACAAAACAATTCTTTGGATTTGAAATTAATTAACTAGATCTAAGTTTAAAGAACACAACAATATATTTATGTATATTCATGTGTTGACTACCATCCTCTTTATACAAAAATTTATCCGATATCTACCTTTTCTCCCTGGGTTTTACCTTGAGCACTTTTATTTAAAAGGCACATCGAGATCGCATCGAGAAACATGAGGAATTGTAGAATAAGAATTTAAAAGGTAAATCTTTCTTTTGTGCGAATCTTTTTCTTGAATAATGCAAATAAAAATTACGAACACTCTATGATTTTGTTCTAGGTTAAGAATTTACAAAGTATGTGTTTTTTTGCATTTTGTCATCGCAGTGAATGTGGAAATGACAGGCTCACAACATATGATTTTTAAAATTAAATATATTAGCGAAATCTTTCAGCGCCACAAAAAATTAAATAGCTAACACAGTTATTCGAATTCTCGATTATTAAAGAATTGCATCAAAGCATTCATTTCAAAGCGTTAAATTTTGAGGAAAACTCACCAACCTGAAATTACAATTTCGAATAACAGTTATTCGAATTTTCGATTATTGAAGAATTGCATCAAAGCATTCATTTCAAAGCGTTAAATTTTGAGGAAAACTCACCAACCTGAAATTACAATTTCGAATAATAGTTATTCGAATTTTCGATTATTGAAGAATTGCATCAAAGCATTCATTTCAAAGCGTTAAATTTTGAGGAAAACTCACCAACCTGAAATTACAATTTCGAATAACAGTTATTCGAATTCTCGATTATTAAAGAATTGCATCAAAGCATTCATTTCAAAGCGTTAAATTTTGAGGAAAACTCACCAACCTGAAATTACAATTTCGAATAACAGTTATTCGAATTTTCGATTATTGAAGAATTGCATCAAAGCATTCATTTCAAAGCGTTAAATTTTGAGGAAAACTCACCAACCTGAAATTACAATTTCGAATAACAGTTATTCGAATTTTCGATTATTGAAGAATTGCATCAAAGCATTCATTTCAAAGCGTTAAATTTTGAGGAAAACTCACCAACCTGAAATTACAATTTCGAATAACAGTTATTCGAATTTTCGATTATTGAAGAATTGCATCAAAGCATTCATTTCAAAGCGTTAAATTTTGAGGAAAACTCACCAACCTGAAATTACAATTTCGAATAACAGTTATTCGAATTTTCGATTATTGAAGAATTGCATCAAAGCATTCATTTCAAAGCGTTAAATTTTGAGGAAAACTCACCAACCTGAAATTACAATTTCGAATAACAGTTATTCGAATTTTCGATTATTGAAGAATTGCATCAAAGCATTCATTTCAAAGCGTTAAATTTTGAGGAAAACTCACCAACCTGAAATTACAATTTCGAATAACAGTTATTCGAATTTTCGATTATTGAAGAATTGCATCAAAGCATTCATTTCAAAGCGTTAAATTTTGAGGAAAACTCACCAACCTGAAATTACAATTTCGAATAACAGTTATTCGAATTTTCGATTATTGAAGAATTGCATCAAAGCATTCATTTCAAAGCGTTAAATTTTGAGGAAAACTCACCAACCTGAAATTACAATTTCGAATAACAGTTATTCGAATTTTCGATTATTGAAGAATTGCATCAAAGCATTCATTTCAAAGCGTTAAATTTTGAGGAAAACTCACCAACCTGAAATTACAATTTCGAATAACAGTTATTCGAATTTTCGATTATTGAAGAATTGCATCAAAGCATTCATTTCAAAGCGTTAAATTTTGAGGAAAACTCACCAACCTGAAATTACAATTTCGAATAACAGTTATTCGAATTCTCGATTATTAAAGAATTGCATCAAAGCATTCATTTCAAAGCGTTAAATTTTGAGGAAAACTCACCAACCTGAAATTACAATTTCGAATAACAGTTATTCGAATTCTCGATTATTAAAGAATTGCATCAAAGCATTCATTTCAAAGCGTTACATTTTGAGGAAAATTCACCAACCTGAAATTACAATTTCGAATAATTAATTAATTATACGGGTAAATAAGGGTTGCATATCAGGAAATGTATACTGATTGATCATTAACAAATCAAACGAAACCGAACGAATGTTTTCCCATGAGGATATTTCTGACACAATTATTACTAATCCCGGTGACGAATTTTTGTGCGTCGGCGATTTCAATATAAGGAATGCTTCTTGGGAGCTGATCGGTGTTGATGGACCTGCTAGACTCTTGAATGGTGATCGGTGGGACTCACTTGTCTTTGGTCTTTCTAATTTTTTAGCTTTTAATAGTTTTAAACAATTTAATTCGATTTCTAATATAAATAAAAGATGCTTAGATTTAGTAATAAGTAATTGTGCTTGTAAGGTTGTTCGTTCGTCCCTTCCTCTTGTATCTGAGGATGATCATCATCCAGCCTTGGATATTCAGATTCAGGGGTTAGACGTGAGACCCCTACGTTCTCCTGGCCGGTCCATATTGCTTTTCCATAAAAGTGACTACTCTATTATTAACGAGGAACTTTCGAAAATTGATTGGAAACAATCTTTTATGAATTTAGATGTCGACATGGCCGTGGGCAAGTTTCATGAAATCTTAGACAAGATTATTTCTGATAATGTGCCTGTGAAGGTCGTAAGAGGTAACTCCAATTTCCCTTACTGGTACTCCTCTGCTTTAATCAAGTTGATTAAAGAAAAAAGAAAATTTCACAGGAAATGGAAATGTTATGGTCGATTGGCCGACTATTCAAGTTTTTCTGTTCTTCGTGAAAGACAAAAAGCCTTAAAAATTTGCTGTTACAATGCACACATAACAAAGTGTGAGGATGATATCTTGAAGTGCAGTAAGCAATTTTGGAGATTTGTTAAATCCAAGAGGAGTGCTGGGGATTTTCCTAACGAATTGTTCTTAAATGATAGGTGCTCATCTGATGGTTCTGAAATATGTAATTTATTTAATGTTCATTTTGGTTCTGCCTTTTTAACTAACAATACACAGTCAGCATCATCGTTAAGTTATACCCCTGCTTCTTACGACCTTAACTGTGTAGATATTTCTTCATTTTTTATTTCGGTGGGTAAAGTCAAGCAATATTTAAAAAATCTTGATATTTCCAAGGGTGCTGGTCCGGATGGTATTCCGCCTGTTTTTTTGCGACAATGTTACGCTCAGCTGTGTTACCCTTTGCATCTTCTTTTTAATCACTCATTATCAACTGGTGTTATGCCCCGTATTTGGAAGCGGTCGTTCGTGGTGCCAGTCTTTAAGAGCGGTGATAAACATAACATAGCTAACTACAGACCAATTTCTAAAATTTGTGCCATCCCTAAGATGTTTGAACGTATAGTTTATGATTTTTTATTTCCATTGATTAGGCCTCATATTATAGAGCAACAACATGGTTTTATAAGCCATAGATCTACTGAGACAAACCTCTGTGAGTTTTTGGATTATGTATTGAGCTCCATGGAGGATGGTCATCAGGTTGATGTGGTGTACACGGATTATTCCAAAGCGTTCGATCGAATAAATTTTGACATTTTGATTGAGAAATTGCATGGACTTGGGGTCCACGGTGATTTGCTGCGATGGCTTGAGTCTTATGTTAGAGATCGCAGTCAGGCTGTGACTTTCAATGGTTTTTGTTCATCATTTGCACCTGTTCCCTCGGGAGTTCCTCAGGGCTCTCATCTCGGTCCTATGTTATTTAATATATATGTCAATGACGTTTCGAATGTTTTCAGGAAATCCAAATTCATTATGTACGCTGATGACAAAAAAGTATATAAAGTTATAAAGTCCTTAAACGACTGTTTGGAATTACAGGATGATTTGAACAACTTATTTGTTTACTGTCAAAATAACTTACTCACAGTGAATACTAATAAGTGTACTATTATAACATTCTCACGTGGAAGATCGAATATCTTGTATGACTATTCTATTAATGGTCAAACTTTGGTACGCACCACAGTTGTTCGTGATTTGGGTATTTATTTGGATTCCAGTTTGATTTTTGATTTTCATGTTAATGAAATAGTAAATAAGGCTTTTCGAATGTTAGGCTTCATACTTAGAGTTGGTAAAGACTTTAAAAGACCATCTACTTTGATTCTGTTGTACAACAGTTTTGTACGGTCTATATTGGAATATGGCTCCGTCACATGGAACCCCCAATATAATATTTATATTCAGCGACTAGAAAGAGTCCAAAAAAAGTTTTTTAAGCATCTTTTATACCATTGTCGTCGCTTTAACTCTCCAGAACCGACAGAATTTGTCTCTCTAGTCGATCGCAGGCTACTGAGGGATCAAATGTTTTTATATAAAATAATAAATAACGAGATTGATTCTAGCTATCTTCTTTCCAAAATTTCATTTAAATGTAGTCGTATTTCCGCGCGTTCTAAACAGACCTTCCACATGTCCACGGCTCGAACGAAATATGCTTCTAACTCTTTTGTCCGTAGATCTTGTAGGTTGTATGATGCTAAGTTCTCTAATGCTGATATCTTTTACTTGTCACTTGTAGCATATAGAAAAGCTGTTTTGGAGTGTTTATAGGGTGATTTGGCCCGATAAGTGTTGTAGTTGTAGTGTGAGTTAATGTATAAAACGATATGTGCGTATTGTGTTGCTTTTGTTTTTTTGTAATTTGAATTTCTAAATTTTTCTTCTTGTTCACTGTCTACTTATATGTGATTTTGATTGTGGAAACATATTTGGTTATTGTTTTAGCTATTTTTTTTTAAATATTGTATGTTTTGTATTGTACTGTTTGTTTCCCAAATAAATAAATAAATAAATAAATAAATAAATAAAAATTTTATGTCTTTGTAATGATTGATATTTTGAAATTTGGAATTAAGGAAATCCTTTATTGAATTAGATTCGTTTAAATATTCAACAGGATAGATTAAAAGGTAGCATACATTTGCATCTCTTCGAACTAAGCCCTTTTGTTTTTCTTCAGAATATTGATTAAGTTAATAACATCGAGTTTTGTGAGGGAGATCACAACAGCGAACTAGCATTAAGTTATTGAATCATAGCTATCAAACTTTTTTTGTAAGATAATTGAAATTCTAAAATTTCCACAGAAAAGATCAAAAATCGGTATTTTGTTCAACATAAGAATACGTACTATTTAGCAAACTTTCATTTAAAATGGATATCCTCAATTCTGTTTCTTTTATAATTTTAATAAACTTTTATGTACTAATCCAATTATGATATTTTTTAAACGTTGGCAATGAATATTCCTGGTAAAAAAATATCAATTCTGTATAGTGCTCATTTTGAAGACGATTTATTTATTGTCGATCCAAGTGAAGGGGTAAACTTTAAATATGTTCTCAAATTAAAAAGTAATGTTCTATAAAATCTTCTGGCTTAGTGTTATACGTCTCGGAATGAAGAGAACGTATTTTACTATAATTCTTGTATGTATTCAAAATGTTACCTGCCGTAACTATCACAGTAACTTTTCATTAGCATTAAATTGGTTTAAAACTTAAAAAACAATCTTTATAGCGCATACAACGCTACACCGTGTCCTCAGCTACGCAAATGTCAAGTACAATATACATATAATAGGAATGTGCATATATTTAGAAATTCATTGCCGTAAATCAAGAAATTTATTTCGGTCCCGGTAATATATAAAGTAATAAAAATCCAATTTTCCATTTATGAATTACTTTTCCTTAAAATAATAGCTGATGTCAATATGTTTTGTATTTTATAGTCGAATACTTATATTATACTAGCGACCCGCCCTCGCTTCGCTTCGGAAACATTAAATTTTATTATTAATAGCTGAGTCCCGCGATGTTACTCGCGGTTATTCTCGTACCGCAGGTGAAGCCGCGGGGCGAAGCTAGTCTAAAAAAAGTAGCCCAAGTTATTCCTTATATCATCAGCTACCTATCAGTGAAAGTCCCGTCAAAATCGGTCCAGCCGTTTCAGAGATTAGCCGGAACAAACAGACAGACAAAAATTGTAAAAAATGTTATTTTGGTGTATGGATATGTTTTGGACATTCACGCTCTGAACTATTGTACTCGGTCTTTTGTTAAAAAAATACCGTTGCGATAAATTACATGAAAACTTTTCTGTGTAATGTGGCGTTTATTTGAATGATAAACAAGATTAGGCAGTGCCTGTATTCGAATTGACACAACGTCTAATTGACTTCTTGACTATTTTACCGCAAGCCAATCTCGCTTTTGTCTGCTTAATGACTATAAGAAATATTACCAATAAAAATACGATTAAATTATAACACACGTGGTACTTTTTACTGCCAGTAGAGAGAGCATCTTGTGGACCCACACGGGTAAGTACCATCAACCTGCCTATTTCTGCCGTGAAGGAGTAATGCGTCTCGGTTTGAATGGCAATTATGTTGTATAGAATTACCAATAAAAATACGATTAAATTATAACACACGTGGTACTTTCTACTGCCAGTAGAGAGAGCATCTTGTGGACCCACACGGGTAAGTACCATCAACCTGCCTATATCTGCCGTGAAGGAGTAATGGGTCTCGGTTTGAATGGCAGTTATACTGTAGAATCGGAGACAAAGAACTTATGTCTCAAAGTGGATGGTGTATTTACGTGCGTGATGATAGGATCTGGTTACAATTTAGCACCGGGCGGGCTGTGAGCTCATTCACTTACCTAAGCAAAAAAATATGTATTTAGTCAACTTAAGATTACCGTACCCGAATCGTTACGTAAAAAAAATAGCAGAGGGCACCACTGACGACCTGGCTATTAAACAAGACTAAGTTATTAAATAAAGTACCGCTGACCCTTAGCGATTCCAGCCATCAATTACCTACTCGAAAGAACCAACACACTGACATAAGTGCCGTGAACAAAGTTTCTGCTGTTTATTGTTTGTCGTGGTGTGACGTTTTATTTTTTTATTATGATATGTACCTATGTTATAAAAATAAAAATCAAACCCGCAAAATTATAATTTGCGTAAAGACTGGTGGTAGGAACTCTTGTGAGTCCGCACGGGTAGATACCACCACCTCGGCTATTTCTGCCGTGAAGCAGTAATGCGTTTCGGTTTGAAGGGTGGGGTAGCCGTTTTAACTATACTGACACCTTAGAACTTATATCTCAAGGTGGGTGGCGGATTTACGTTGTAGATGTCTATGGACTCCAGTAACCACTTAACACCAGATGGGCTGGGCTCGTCCACCCATCTAAGCAATAAAAAAAATATGTTATTTCTTCTTCTTAGTCGGACACTCTTGTCAGAGTGGTCGTGGTTGCGCTGACGCTGTATGTGCAGAAGGACTCGTTAGGTCGCCCATGCTCCCGACGACCGCCCTCCAGTCAATGCGCTTCCAGGTCAGGCGGTTCGAAGCGTTTCGAGTACATTCGACCATAGTGGACTCAGTTGCCTTTCCTTATTAGGTCAGTCCAGCGGGTCGATGAGCGGCCGCGTGATCTCCTGCTTTCCACCCGGCCCTGGATCACCAGTCTCTCCATCGAATGCGCTTCTTGAGATGTGACCAAAGAATTTTAAAACCCTCAGTTGCACAGTTGACGGTAGTCGGTCTTTGATACAGAGTTCTTTGTGGATGGATGCATTGGTGCGCAATGCTATCCATGGGAT